TTTACCACTAAGGAACGCCAAGTTTTGCATGCACGTGAGGCCATTTTGCCTGATCCAGTTGGAGACCAAGTTCACTTGCAACTGGAGGAAGCAGAAGCTGGCTCCAAACCTCCTCGCCGCCTTCATGGCAAGCAGCCTATGCCTGGACATCAACCAATGCGGGTGCCTCTGCCAGAAATGCCACGGGATGACCGTGGGGGGGAGTCCTCTTTGGTTTTTGATGGTTTTGATGGTTCAAAGGGCTGTGAAAAAGGGGTTGAACATGTGCATGAAAACCCAGAAGGGGAAAAAGATGAGATCGACCGATGTTTTGAAGAACTGATGAATAAAGAATTGAAAAAATTGGGCTCCACCACCAATGCCAAGGGAATCCCAAAACCCGAAAACCCTGGGGGAATACCAAAAACGGGTTGTGGTCAAAACGGAAACCTTGGATACCCTTGAAAAGCAGTTGGGATGGATGCATGAAAATGTGGTTGATTCTCTTCATGACTTGTTGGATGTTGTCCCCTCAAATGAATATCTGGGAAACTTGTGTGGGTCACGAATCGACTGGTTGCAAACTGAACGGGAATGGTTGGAACAGGATCTCATAACCCTCAAAAAGGCCAATGAAAACCATGTGGTTCATGTGTGTGGCATGCAACTTGAAAATGGGGAATTGGCAGGTCAGGGGGAGGTTCTTCAAACCACCACCATACCCCTAAATGATGTTCGAAAAGAACTTCCGTTGTGGAAAGAAGCCATGCTGAAGGAATATAACAGCCTGGTTCATGAAACGAAAGCCATTGAACCTGTTGATTTGTCAATGTTGGACCAAGAAAATGTTGAGTTTGTCCCCGGAAAGTTAGTCACTGTTCGAAAAGCGGGTCCAAATGGGGGAAAGAAAAAGTGCCGCGCCGTAGTTTGTGGCAACATGCTCAGCAGCGACTTGGATCCAGCTCCAGGGAGTCTCTATGCTTCAGGGGCTGATGGAATTCTCATTCGGGCAACACTGGCTCACTCGGTCGAAATGGATTGGGGCATTGGATTGGCTGATGTTCGCACAGCATTTCTCCTTGCACCTCGACCGAAGCCTGTGGAGACTCGGGAGGTTATTGTTGTGCCACCAAAAATCATGGTTGAAGCTCAGGTGTGCAAACCCACGGAAAGATGGAGGGTTCACAATGCGTTGTACGGATTTGGAACATCACCAGCGCATTGGGCTGTCCACAGGGATAACACCATGTCGGGTTTCAAATGGGATCTTGGTGAAAAGCACTTGTACCTCCAAAAAAACCCCGAAGGGAACTTGTGGAAAATCATGCAACAGGGTTCAAATGGTCGTGTGGATGTTTGTGTGGGTCACGTTCTAGTTTATGTTGATGACATCATGGCACTTGCAAAAGATGATGTTAGGCAATCGTTTTTCGACCGCTTGCAAAAAGAATGGAAATGCAGTGATGTTGAAACGGTTGACCAAAACAGTTGGGTACGTTTCTGTGGGTTCGAACTGAAAAGGTATGGGGATGGGGTTAGCTTGATGGTTGGCCAAAAAAGCTATACCGCTGAACTGTTAAAAAGACATGATGGTGTTACCCCCAAAACATGTCCCATGCTGAAGTCCGAACATGAAGAACCCCTTGAAGAAAACCTTACCACGGAAAAAGTGAGGGCTGCTCAAGCTATCACGGGGGAACTCCTTTGGTTGGCGGGTAGAAGTAGACCTGACTTGTCATATGTGGTAGGTGCCATGGGTCGTCAAGTGTCAAAAAGACCAAAGTGGGTTCAAAAGGTAGGAGACCATGTCTTAGGGTTTTTGAGCACAACACAGGACACATGCCTGGTGTACCGCCCTTGCAACAAGGATCACGGTGCTTTAGGTACTCTCCAGGTACCCCGACATGGACGTTTGCTGGAAGCCTTTGCAGACATCTCCTTCGCTCCAAATGGCGATCGAAGTCACCAAGGTATCATCATTTGCGCTGCTGGATCACCAATTCAGTGGGAAGCCTCTCGACAAGCATTTCATACCATGAGCACAGCGGAAGCTGAGTTGGTAGGTTACTGTGAAGCTGCCACCATGTTGAAATCAGTTGAGGCTCTCATGAAGGTCATTCACATGTCATGTCCAAGTGATGATTTGGTTGACGGGTCGCATGTTGACAACAGTTTTGAAAAAGTGGTTTATGGGGATAATTCCAGCGCTTTGAGCATCCTGATGAATCCTGATGGGGGGTGGAGAACCAGGCATTTGCGCCTTAGATCTTCATGTCTCCGGGAACTTTTAAGGGATGACCCTCAAAACTGGAAGGTTCGACACCAACGGGGAATCGACTTGCCTGCTGATATGTTGACCAAACCCATAGTGTTGCAAAGGGAATGGATCAAGTTTTGGCATTTGTTGGGTTTTCATGTCGACCCCGAAATCCCAAAATATGGTGAAGACAGCCCCAAAACAAAAACCAAAAACAAACCTGCCGTGCCGAGCCCTGCTTCAGGACTTGATAGCACTAAGGAAAAAACTGAGGAAACTGATGATGACCTCACCGTGAAGAAAGTCAAAGCACTGGTTTGCATTGCTGCGCTGTCTACGGCTGCTATGGCGAAGTGCTATGCAGCTGACCTGCGGCTGAAGTGCGCTAACCTGGTGCTGGAGCTGGCGAAGTGGCTTGCTGCTGTCTGGCATTCTCCACCTTCAAACGAAGGTTCGCCCAAAGAGGCCTGTTCAATAGGGTGGGAGGTGGAAGAACCATCAAGAGCCATTGGCCAGAAGAAAGTCCAAAAAGCCAGGGGACACGAACCGGCTACAACAAATCTTCCAAGGGAAAATGAACCTGGAAGATCAACCCTGAAAAATGAAACCTCGAAATGTGTGGAAGCTCCAAGGGAAAACGAACCTGGAGACAACAACCTTGGGGAGTTTTGGGGACCCTCAAATGAAGTTTGTTGGGATCACCGTGAGTACCATAACCCTCAAGAATTTTGGGATTGTAACCCTGAAGATGAAGTTGGGGATTGCGTGGCGTGGCACTCTTGTGGACAGGCGCAACATGTTTTGGAGTCCGTTGGTTGTGACTCTCCAGTTGGAAAACATGACGTCAGTTCACGGCCACTGTTGGCCGTTAAGGACCACTGCCCCACGGGCTGCCCCAGTCGTAGTTTGGTCAAATTCGCAGCCATGGCGCCAAAGATGTCCAAGCCGAAGCCTCCTGTGCCTCCGCAAGTGCTTGGGCCTCCAGCTGCTGCTGCCGCTGCGCCGCCTGCTGCTGTTGGGCCAAAACGAAAAGCTCCACCGCTGATGCTGCTGTGTGCATCGGCTATGGGAGATGCTGCAAGCTCTGCGGGTCGTCCAAAGCAAGACCCATACATCGGCACTTTGCCGAAGTTCCCGCCTGCGAGAAGGGAGGCTGAAAAAGCCCAGAAAAAATCTGGGGGTACGGGGCTAGATGAAATGCCTCGACATGGACCTTGGTTGGATGAAAAATACCGACAGCCAAATACAACTGGAAAAAAGGACTCTTGGTCCGTTGCAAAATGTGGAAATGAGATCTTCTTGGTGAAGGTCCATAGAGCGCCTCGAAAACAGCGCTTCCACCCACTGCACCGCTCAGCACCTGTTGAGGCGAAGTTTTTGACAGGTGAAAGAGTCACCAAGGCCTTTTTCCTGAACCCTGCAGATGACGGTCCGGGATTTTTGGTCTCTGACAGATGGGACAATCCCGTGGTACGGTCCGAAACCAAATGGACCGGGTATACCTTCCTCACTATGAGGAACGAAGCTTTGGAAGGTCTGAAAATACAGCTGGAACCGGCTGACACCGCTGATGGACCTCCGTGGCCTGCTGCTCCCCCTGCAAAGGAGGACGACATGGACGTGCACGTCGGTCTTCACAGTGAAATGCTGACTCCAAGGCGCCAAAGACCCCAAAGGGAACCTGGCCTGGTAATCGGCCGTTTGTACCTGGATGGATGCTTGGCTTCGAGTGGAACTGGGACTTTGTCAAGTGCTGAGTCTCAGGAAACAAGGCTGGTACCTATGCATGACCCGACCAGCCCCTACAACAAGACTTCAGGAACTACCTCGGTGGGATACAATCGTGGTGGTGGTGGCATCATTCGACGTGGTGTTGCCGCTCTGGAGCCGGCCTCTTCGAGCTCGGGATATGACCCACAGCTCCCCAGGTCCTACTTGCCTCTGACGGAGGATTGGGATGTGCCGCTGGTAGAATGGGCTCTTGTCACTGATGACGAGGATGAAGAAGATGAAAGCCTCAACAATGAGGAGGAAGAGCCTGCGCCTTGAGGATCTGGCTACATGCTGCTGGAGCTCTACTGAGGGCCGGAGGCTTGGTTTTGAATGTTTTCCTGAACTGCAGTACCCTGCAGGGGGGAGTGTGGTTCACCCGATCGAGCCATAACTCCATTTGCAGTTACATGTGGTCAAAGGACCATAAGGTTCAAAAGTTGGATGGCATGCAACATGGCATGGCGACATGCACAAAGATGACATGCCATTGAACAAATGGCTCAAGATGCAAGCTCTTGAAAAGATAGAGCGCGTCAGCAGCTGAGAAGTTGCACCTGTGTGAGAAACCACGATATCAAATTGTGAAATTCCACAAGATGTAGGGTTTCTTTTTTTGAATGTCCGAATTTGTCCCAAAGTTCGAGACTTCCCTATTGATTGGATTCCGGTTAAAGCAAAGCGTCTATGATGAGAAGCTTCGCCTGAGGTCTTGAAGTCACCGTGTTTCCAAAAGTCCCATCACGATCTCACAGAACCTAAATGTGCTCCGATTGAGGTCCTAAACCGCCATAAATTGCAGTTAAATATAGTTAAATATGTTATAAATAACATACACATAACACATATTTAAGACACATATATATATATATATATATTACAATACAAAGGCACCACATGCCACATACCACCACTTGATACCACATGTGCGTTTCAGCACAATTGAAGCGCGGGTTCCTCACGACTTGTTTCGCCTTGGAAGCCTCGGAACCAGGAGACCTTTAAGTTCGTCTCATTGTTGAGATTACGACCAACGCCGACGAGAGTTCCTAGCTGATCGTTATGCTGTAGTGGTTGATATATGTGGCTATGGCTACAGGAAAGTTGGTGACTCCCTTAAACTTAAACCATCTACCTAAAGTATTACCATCTGGTTATTTAACATAGCCATGGAAAATCACCATTTTTAATAGGTAAACCATCTATAAATGGGTCATCTATACCATGGCTATGTTAGTCATAACCAGATGGTATTCCCATGGTCGTCCCAGGTTCTCCAGGGCCTCGAACGATGTCGTTGTGCTTTGCCCTTCGTGCCCAAAGCCTGGTACATGCGTTCCTTGTCACCGATGGCTGAGCAAAATTGTATGGAAAGTTTACGAGAATGTCGGTGGGCTCAACTGCTGATTTAGTTTGGGCATACCCTCCACTCATATATATATATACATATATACATATAATATACACATACATTAATCAGATGTATATATTCTGCAGAGTTATGCAGCAAGTTGGGAAGTGCATTTGTTCGGCAACTTGCAAATTAAACAAACAAAAGGATGCGCAGATATCTGGAAGAAGCAGGACTAGACTCTTTTTGTGACTCCATGACTGACTCCATCAGAGTTTACACCCAAACGAACATCAAAGGGAGATTTGGGAAATGACTTTATTGTGTGGTGTCGTTGAAACCCAACAATTTGATTTTTGGGAGTTGAACCATACAAAACGGGAGATTTGAGGCTTCGAACCACGCCCAAAGTATCTTAAAGATATGGCCCAAAGATCCCCAAGGTATTTAAGTTGATGTTTTTCACATTTTGCCATTCTTGGGATATCTTTGGTTTGGATGTTATACCCTCTGGTAAACTAACATAACTATGGAAAATCACCATTTTTCATGGGAAAATCATGGAAAATCCACTATAAATGGCCATTTTTAATAGCAAACTGTTAGTCATTACCAGAGGGTATATCATGTTATATCACCACATGAAACCTGGCCAGCCAGGCTTGGCGGATTCTCCACTTGCGGCAACTTGGCGAAATGGAAATCCCACTGGTGATATTATTGGATTACTTCAATTACTTCTGAAAATATGCCTGGATATCATAGATGGATTATGATATATATATATATATACATATTGATATATATATATATATATTGTATGAATGAACCCGGAGATTAAAACCCAACAGTCACGGCGGATGGGAATTACATGGAATTACTGGTACATGCACTACCCTCTGGTAAACTAACATAACTATGGAAAGATCCACCATTTTAATGGGAAAACTCACTATTTCTATGGCCATTTTCAATAGCAAACTGTTAGTCATTACCAGAGGGTAACCCATCTCGTAGAAGGATTCCACGAGATGAACGTTGCAACCACAATCATGATCCAAAAAAAGGAAGTAATAGGCTGCGTGAAAGTGCACAAATATGATACTTACATATATACTTAAATATGGTTTCCATTATGTTCCATATAGACAAATATAGACATCCATTAAAGTTCCATTAAAACAAGATAGACATCCATTAAAGTTCCATTAAAACAAAATAGACATCCATTAAAGATCCATTAAAACAAGATAGACATCCATTAAAGATCCATTAAAACAAGATAGACATCCATTAAAGATCCATTAAAACAAGATAGACATCCATTAAAGATCCATTAAAACAAGATAGACATCCATTAAAGATCCATTAAAACAAGATAGACATCCATTAAAGTTCCATTAAAACAAGATACTTTTCCATTAAAGTTCCATTAAAACATCCACCTTTTTTGGCGCCGGGACCACGAGGTGGCCCTTTGTGGTGTGGCTGCGGGTGGAGGTTTGGCGACCACCGAAAATTTCATGTACATCTTCAGCTCCTCGGCGCGGTATAGCGAGGTTCCAAGGTGCCTTAAAGAAACAGGTGAAAAAGGGGGATGGTGATAGGATGTGATAGGCATTGATAGGTATTCAAACATGGTAACATATATATTGAAAGTATCGAGGTAGTATAAACACTCATAATTACTTTTTGGGCCAAACTGACCCAAAACTGTGGCTAAAGGGATGGTAAAACCACCGGCAGAAGGGCCGGCGCAACTCAAGAAACCCGATTTCTTTGGTTTTGTGGCCGGCAAACTTAGCGGCAGAACCTTTGGTTAACTTTGTGGGAACTAAAAGCCATGGCATTTGTGCTGGCAAGTCGTATGGCAGAGCATCCGAAGCAGTGATGGACAAGCAAAATTAGGGGCAAATGTGCCGGCAAGAGGCCCGGCAAAGCGCGCGAACTAGCTCTGGCCAAGCCAAATATACGGACATGTTCAATGGCAAATGTGTTCAATGCAAAAGTCAATGAAAGTTGGTACATGCTGGCACGTTTCAATGTGGAAAAGCTGAACAACGAAAATCAATATTGCATGCTACTGCACCAGGGAAGCCATCTTATGAGCGATTTTTTCCATAGGCTGACTTGGACAATGTCCGGGCAACTACAAAAAGCGCCTCTTTGATTGCCGCAACCTTGGCAGACGCCTGGCAAGAACCTGGCACAATCTTAGCAATAAATTGAAGGGGGGAGCCGGGAGCAGGAACCTTGTTGGCGGAAACCCGGCGACCTAGTGAATGCCTGGAACCCAGCGGAACCTAGCGGAACCCGGCGGAGCGGCGGAACCCAGCGGAGCCCGGCGGAACCCAGCGGAACCCGGCGGAACCCGGCAGGACCCGGCGGAACCCGGCGGAACCCGGCGGAACCCGGCGGAAACCTGGCGGAAACCTGGCGGAAACCTGGCGGAACCCGGCAGAGAAAAAATAAGTTGAAGGGGGGGGTGGTGGAGAGTATAAACCATGCCAAAAGTTATACTCCCAACCACCCCCCCCTTCAACTTACTTTTTTTTCCGCCGGGTTCCGCCAGGTTTCCGCCAGGTTTCCGCCAGGTTTCCGCCGGGTTCCGCCGGGTTCCGCCGGGTTCCGCCAGGTTTCGCCAGGTTTTGGTAGGTTCCCGGCGGGTTTCCGCCAGCCTCGGGCTTCTGCAAGGTTAGCGCGAAAGCCGTCAGGTTTGCGTCAAGTTCTTATTCCCAGGTTTCTGCCAAGCCCCCGCCGTCTCCAACGCAAGACCCGTCACAACTAGTCACAATTTAAGCGCTCTTTTTCCAAAACAATTTTCAGCTGAGTTGTCAGCTCAGCACTGCTTGCCTGGGGGGCAGTGGCTGCTTGAGCAGCTTTGCTGTGAAATCAAGGTCCACGCAACCAACTTGTCCAGTCCAATGCGCGGCGCTGGACGCTGGAGACCTTTAACCGTCAGGCTGGCAGGCGCTAAGAGCGACAATGAAAACCCGGTGTGCACCTGGTGTCCGGCAGTGAACTAGTAATGCCAGGCGCAACCCAACTTAACTTGGAAGCATATAATGATAAATATTTTATGTTGGTGCCAGGTTGTGCCTTTTGAGGCAACATTTCTACGCGGTTTGCTGCTCTTTTTTGCCTCGCATTTTTGCTAACTTGACCGGCATGTTGCCACCTAGTTTGCCGGGGGTTCGGCCAGCTGCTTGGCCAGGGCCGAAACCACGATTTTCATCTTGTTTCTGGGGAGTGTTTATACTCCCAGGCTTATTCCAACATATATATATATATAATTAATTATATATAATTATATACACTGTGTATAATTAATTATAATTACATACATATGTAATATATAATTATATATATATATATCCCCAAAAGACGGCTTTGCGGTTTGGAACATGTTTGAATACTCATTATTGGGAGTTCTAGCATGTTCTAGCATGAAAAGGTTGAACGACCATCCCATGTGCAACAAATTTGACCATAGCACATCCGGACATATTGGAAAATTTGGAAGCGCCCGCCTTTCTGCGCGCGAGGCCGAGAAAGCATCGACAAAGCCTTTCAGGAGGCAGTTGCAGCATGTTGCAGCAGGGTTCATCAGCTGCATACCTCATGATTCAGACATTGAGAAGATTTTGACAACACTTGACTGCGGAAGCAGGAAACCCGACACCCTACTTCTTCACTTCTTTGGTCAATTGGTCAGTTGAACCGATGGGACGTGGGGAGATCCCAGTTGCTGCCCATTGGGACGCCAGGGCGACTTGGAATCGGCTTACGGTCGAATTGCAGCTTCTTTTGCGCATATGGTTTGGACAGGCAGGGCCTGTGGGCAGCTGGGGATACTGGTCGTCCTGACAAAAAAGAAGGACCGGAGCGATGGTATTCCAACCGCAGCATGACAATCTGAAGTGCAATCTATTGAAATGCATTGTAAGATATTGTCACTAACATCAACTAACTATGTAGATTCCGTATCAAAAACATTGAAATTCAACAATTTTGTCTGTCAGTTCACTGTGATGTTGCTTTCAGCAGTGCCTGAGATGAAATCCGATATAATATCGGAATATCATATAATATCCCATTTTTGCCGATCTACCATGGTTTACTTACATTTATCCACCAAAAATACCTGGATTTGGGTAGAAAATGGTAGAAATAGCGGTGAACTCCTGCAGGGTACGCGGCGTGCGGCCTAGCGAAGTGGCAGTTCTTGCCTGAGGGCGATCCCGCGCGCCCCAGAAGTCGTGCCTGGTAGCGAAGTTCATGTGGGTATGGATCAATACCTATTAATACAATTTTTAGGGGGATGAACATCCATTTTTGGGGTTCACTAGGTACCAGGGTTTTGACCCATCCCCAAATGATACATCCTGATAATTACCCTCTGGTAAACATTTACATAACTATATGGAAAGATCCACCATTTTCACTGGGTAAATCCACTATTTCTATGGTCATGTTCAATAGCTAATTATGTTATTTTACCGGAGGGTACATCCTGATACACCGTCTCCGAAATAACATGGTCAATCACCATGTTTATGAATGGTCAATGACAATCCATCCCCACATGGTAGGCTTATGATTTATGGTTTATATATGTTTATATTGGGTTTCCCACATTAGCCCCGAACATTGGGTTTTCCATGGTTTTCCCCATTCAGAACGTCTAGAAATTTCGATGATTTTAAGGGTCCGAGAATCTGGGGTGCCCATGGTGCCCTATTGGATGGGGGAAGATGTGAATGTCGAAACCATCACTGTCTGCAAAAAATGGATCTTGGAACAGGTTATTCCAACAGAACCAACGGTTTGGGGGAAAAATTGGATGCTTCTTCTAGACAGAACGGGAATGCTTGCAAGGCACTTTCCATTCTTTCCAGAACAGTTTTGGTCTGGGTTTGTATGCAAGAATCGCTCAATGTCGGAGGAGACTCATCATTCTTTCCATTTAAGACCATTGAATAACAAGAACTTGAAATGGCTTCAATATAACATGGGGTCTCATGTTTGGAGAAAGCCATTTGAGGAGTGCAGTACCTACTGCCTCCCATCTTTTTGCATGGCCTCTACAACTGGTGCTCAACCTTGCAGCGCTGTGAAGCCTATGAGGAGGTGTACCAGGCAGCTGACGAATCATGTTCAACCCAAGCCAAATTGGGTAAACGGTCCCCGGAATATCCAGTTTAATGATGTTTTTCATGTGCAAAGTCATGATCATCCGTTTGATTTTTGGGTAAAAGCCATATCAAGCGGCTTTGGATTCGATGGTTTTCCGGGCAAAGAGCTTTTGTGAACTCACATTTTCCAGTGTCTCTAGATGTCTCTAGTCACTTCAGTGGCCAGGGGCAAGTGTACAAGAGTGATGGTTGCTACCTTCCCCCGACGTGGCGCATGGTTTTCAAGGCTGCGCACACAGCATCTTGCCATATAAATTCTTCCCCTTGAGTTGCCGGTCTCACTGCGTTGAAACGAGAGCCAGGCCTGATATCGAGCCATGTCCAATCACAACAAAGACTTTTAGGAATTGTGGTTATCAACTTGAGCATGATCAGATTGTCATAGATTGTAACTGCAGAGATGGGTTGCTTGAGTAGCCTTTTTCACCCTTTATGAGCCTTTTATGATATAAACGACTGAGGTCGTAATGCTCTTGAGCTTTTATTGGTGGCATGCAGAATTTTCCGAGATCGCTGGTGATGAGGAGGACACAGACCTCAGCTGATGCTGTGCGGTATCATAGCATGGCAGATGTCAAAAGTGGGGGCGTCCTAATATTGGCCTGGACCAAAATTAATCTAACATCATAGGTAATCACCAGATACCACCAGTCATGGTCCATCAAATTATAAAAACCATGGTATTTTAGGAGCGGAGAAATTCGCGATCTTGGTGCATGTTCCACTTTTTGTTGGACGCAAGATTTATGTTGCCAAATGATGCCTTTTTTTGGTTGGTCTTCCCAGCGAATCACAGGACATGGATGAAACCATCGCCGCGCAGGTGCGGCCAACCCCTCCAAGCTGGATCTGAAACCTGCCGGATCCCAACTTGGTCAATTTTGAGGAGTCAACTGTTCTTTTGGTCACAATATAAACCTGGATTTTCGAGCTGAGATCGGATGGGTCCTACTGAGGGTTTATATGGGTTTATATACTCAGATTACTACATGTTACTACATGTTACTACGGTTTCGCTCTAAAACTGAAGCTGTCGCCTCGTTGGGGCTGCCAGGCGTGATGTGTCACCTCACCAAGCTTCCCGTCAGTGAGCTGGTGGGGCCCTCATTTTGTGGACCGTTTTCGCCCATGGCCAGTTTCGGTTTCCTCAGTTTCCACGTTGGATTCAAAATGATTCAAAGACAGGCTGGGAATTGTTGGGATGCGTGTCAAGTCCCACCATTTCTTTTGCCTTTTTCAAAGTCCAGTTTCCATGATGCCAGCCGCGATATGGTTGATTATTGTTTATCTCTGACTATGATCTCAGTTCGCCCCCTATCCCAAGTATTGGCAGCGGGAGTTGGCCAGGGTATGAGTCAACATCTCAGAGCCAGGGGAGGTATTAAAATGATTTAACATGTATTAAACACATATAGATTATTATAGACTATTATAGGTTATTATAGATTATTATAGATTATTATAGATTATTATAGATTATTATAGATTATTATAGATTATTATAGATTATTATAGATTAAACATCTATTGGTAGAACGATGTTGACTGATGTTGAACATCAATGTTCCGAATTCTTGGTGCGATTCCCACAGGCTTTGCGACTGACTGGGAGCAGACCCACCTGACGGAAACACCGCAATGGGTGGATGCAGAAAAAGTGAGAGCCAGGGCCGGTTGGAAGACCTTTAAAAATGGCTGGGGACCATGGAAATGACATGGAAATGGTTTCAATAATTATACTTGAACAACTATGGATGGAGAATGGATTTTGGTTTACACACATTTATAATAGTTTGTGTATCTACGTGATACATTGGATCATCTTGGAATGTATGATCAGTCTTTATCATCATATCAATTAGGAACATGCGATATCATTAGACCCTTAGTAAGCCTTAGTATTTGATGCGCACTTTCAGGGAGACAACATGTGCACCAGCGCCTGTTTTTGAGAAACGACATCCTGCCAAGGGGACGATGCCCGGCAGTATGCCATCGCAGGTGCCATGGTGACAGCGGAACATGGGCTGGACATTGGGGGTATATCACCATTATCATCAAGTAATGGCCTTTTGAATTGGGAAAATACCAGAAACTGATTGATTCTGATTGATTCTGATTGATTCTGATTGATTCTGATTGATCAGGAATATTTGACGGACATTTGGGGTTCAGAAATTTGAGACAACATGAGACAACCCAACTTGGTAATCGATGGTGGTTACGTTGGACATTGAAGGACCAACAAGCACATGGGCATGACCAAGAATTCCAGCACATGAGCATGATTGGGCATGACTCAGAATTCCAAGACTCCGCAACGCACGGTTTTTACTCTTCAACAGAAATCGCCATTCCCAAAAGTGGCGACACAAGAATTTGACGGAACATATTTGTTTGGCAGTCAATGCGTTTGCATTTTTCTGACATACTCTGTCTAGCAAGAACCACCCCACTCTGCCAATCAGATTTCCCTTTAAAGACTTTAAAAGCCCTCAATGTTGTAGCTCTATTCATGCGGACTTGTTGAAAGGAGAACATATTAAGGACATAGATGCATTGATGTGCTTGCATCCACATGCGACAAACATCTACAAACTGAAAGCCTCGGCTGTTTTCTGTTTCAGGCTTTGCAACGACATGATACGACTGGGTTTGAGATACCTGGATCATCCTGGATCGTAGATTTGGTTATGTCCTGATAAATCCCATTCATTATATCCGGTCATACCAATGTTATCCAATGTTATATTATGCTATATTATAACATGATATATGTGAACATATGTGAACATTTGAAAAACTACAACTTTTTAGTTCGCTCTGACTTTGTGCTCCAGTTTGGTCCACGATTGTCAGGTGCAATATGCGGCGATGCCATCAGGCCTGCCGCTCGAAAGAACAGGATGAAGGGATTAAAAACATTGCAATTTGGGAACTTTGACTTTTTGTTTGAGAATGGAGTTGCAGTCTGTATAGAAAGACGATTAGTATATAGTCTTCCAAATGAGCTCTCCGAACTATCTGCACTAGTTCGAGTAGTTAGTTATAGCTGGATCTACAGTGGGTAGAGGCTTCTCATGGTACCGCAAGAGCAGCTGAGGCCTACATAGATGTCCCGAATTACTGCCACTTTCAAAACGAACCGGTCTGAAATGCTCTGACCATTTGCCAAGGTTTCAAAAATCACCACATTCTATTTGTTCATACTATTTGTTCAAAGAAGCACATCCAATTCCCAATACATATGATTGATATGCATATGATTGTGCTTTGCATATCAGCACTTGCAGCGTCAGGCGGCCAAATCTCTTGGGTGAAACGTTGACTGTCGGTTGCTGAAGCCGGTGGATACTGGTGCCGATGGTTTCATTTGAAGATTCGGCGGTTCCAACGGTGGTGTTTTACCCTCTGGTAAACGTTTACATAACTATGGAAAATCACCATTTTAATGGGAAAATCCATGAAAATCCACTATTTCTATGGCCATTTTCAATAGCAAACTGTTAGTTTACCAGAGGCTATTTGATTTGGTGGTGTCTTTTCTTCTGCCCACACTCCGCAAAATAACAATCTACCGCAACCTACCCAGAAACTTCGCTTTAGTATTGGATAGAATCGGATACTAAACGAGAGAATCATTCGAGGGTCCCACACAGGCATGGCGACATCCTACAAAAAAAGCGGCCTCTGTGATCCTTGGGTATGGAACACATCTTGACTGCTGAAGTATATTATCAGGACTCAGGTTCAAAGATGTTTCAGCTGAAGGATGCTGAAGGTTTCAAAGATGTTTTCTGTGAAGATTCACACCAGCTGTAGATAGTGTTGTTTGGATGGCTCAACCACCCTGCAGACAGTGAAGTGATGTAAGCTTTCTGATGGGGTCACTGCAGATCATGGGGCTGCCGGAAAGTCAAATGGCTGAAAGCTGCTGTATGTATGATTACCGTAATAGAGCTAACGTAGTTGCGATTGCATCCTTGAGCACGATGCCCAATCTCAAGACTTCTTCCGTTTTATAGTGGAATTCACATGCTTGACAGAAGTGTACAACATATAAAACCTTCTTGTGCTGGCTTTCTTTGACAAATCGCACAGGGGCTGACACGGGTAACCGGTTTGAACTTGATGAGCTTTTCCATGTGGTAAGCCCAATGCTACACTATTCCATACTATTCCCAATATGTCCACAGGCTGTAAAACACATGAACAAACCATCCGCAAATGATGGGTTTAGTCATGGGATTACCACCTAACATCACCTAACCCCACAGGCTGAAAAAACCTTGGGAAGTTGATTCAGCGGGTGTCACTTGCTCGCCACGTAGCTCGGCAACGCAACGTCGATTTGCACGCGGATTTGCGCTAAAAAGACGCCCGCCCCATGGATCCCCGTGGCGAAGGCTCTCTCGTTTCGGCGGACTCATCTCCACCATGAATGCCTTGATAGGTTTGATGTGCCCTGTATATCCTGATATATAATGATATATAATGATGTGTATATATATGATATATAATGGTATATATTATAATATAATTAATTTATCCTGTATAATTCTAGCATACTAGTTTCCTCGCGGCTCATGGTGATCTATAGTTTTTCTTGTGAATCCATTCTGTTCGTTCTTGTGTTGCAGTTCATTCCTCGGGTGCATACTTTAACAGAATTCCGGAATTCATTGAAATCACCTGGTAATTACGGCTCCATCAGCCCACCTGCAGGACATGTGACATAGGCATGTTTCATCATGTTTCAATTTCCATGGTTTTTCTTCAGCAGTTTCTGGTCGAAGCTTGTTGCTTCTTGCTGAATGCGGGACCATGGGCCAGACACATGGGAGATGCGGGCGTTCTTTCGGGCACCGAAAGGAAGAGGGAATGGAACGGAATGGAAATGCCATGGGAAATGCCATGGGAAATGCCGTCCTATCACATGGGATAGTGGATGATAGTGGTATTTTTACTGGCTCAAATTAATCCATCAATAGTGGTTAACATCCATTAATCATGTTAATGATATTGATTACTCATCCATTATTAATAATATCCTATCTGGATCCATGTTTGCATATCCAATTTTTGCTCAATGTCTAATTTGGGGTTGAACATGGACCCAGCTATGATGCGGTAGACAGTCAGATCAATGAGATTGTTCCAAATACAATATGAACCAGATGTGCGAGCATACCTTTGAACCAACCCAGTGCTATGCAGTGGCTGCAGAAACTGTTGAAAGGCTAGACCTGAAGTTGATGCTTTGCCATGTCTCTACTTTTCCGAAAGATTGAGAAATCGATGCCCGGTGAACAAAGCAGACGGGCACATCGCCTGGGAGGGTTGGACGCAGTTGACGGCCTTGAAGGGTCTCGTCAAAAGTGCAATTCTATCTCGGGTCTTTAACTTTATTATGGCCTTCAACGTCATGATGGCCCAAAATTATTTAGATTTTGGGAGCAGAAATCGCATGGTCATGATAAAATACTAAAGATGACACACATAGATA